TTAAATAGTTCCCAAGACTGGCTGTCCTAATGTGCCCATTAAATTGATAATGAGAGCATTAAACAGGTATCAAAGAAACATGTCCAGGTAAGTATTAAATGACATAATAAGAAAAACAGAAATAAGAACTGCCTCTCTTTCTTAACATAATACCTGTGATCATGAATCCCAGAATTTTAGACATGATGGGAACCTCACGTTTGTTTAATCCAAACCCTTTATTTTATGGAGGAAGGAAAGAATGCCCAGAGAAGTTGTAGCGTGCCCCAGAGCACACAATTAATTAGTGACAGCCGTAGAACTAAAATCTGACTTCCACTGTAATAATTTCCTTGACAAGTTGTAGAAAAATTATAAGCCACTGATTTATTCTACATCAGAAAGCTGCTCTGTTTTCTTTTCAACTTATTGTTTTAGGTTTAAGGAGTCCCTGCTTTGCACACTCTTGTTCAAGGAGTTACTGACTCAACCAGAGAGAGGACCTGAGAACCAGAATAAACTTTAGAAACCAGAGACTGACCATCTCATTTTCTCATCAAGAAACAAAGGCCAAGTAAGGTTCTGAAACTTGCCACAGTGAAAGAATGAGAGGGGGTCTAAATAAGAGCCTGCATCCTGGTCTCCTTTTTTTCTGGTTCAGTGAACTTGACTACAATCAGGTCCATATCATGCCATTTTCAGCATTCAAAATAATTTTTAAAAAATTGTGTAATAGCAAGATGAATTCTTCCACAAAGCAAATAATCACATTTATGTATTTGCCCAGATTTGGATTTTCCAGATAGCATATGCATGAGTATATAAGCTTTCAACATGGTGCACCTGTAGCCAATGCATCATAGCTATCAAATGACAAGAGATCCCAATTCTCCCTTCCTGTGGCCTAACATACTCTTCCTCCACCTCCCCAGCATCCCCCCTCTTGTCCATTCCCAAGTGCCTGCTACTGAGGCAAATAAAGACCATTATTATTTCCATTCTCTCTCCATACAACAATTTACCCATTGATTCAGCGAGATTGTGGGGTAGGGATTCTGGGCAGTGTGACTGATGATAAACTTTCACTTTGCAAAGCAATCCTCTATTTTAAACTTCTCTTCTCTTTTAACTGGACTTAAAACTCCAGAACTATAAAGAAGGCTAAGAGAAATAATGCGTGTGTATTTTGGAGCATACCCTAAGATGAGCAAGTTTAGATTCATCCTGGGTTTGAGCAACTAATTCTGATCCTATGCATCATCAAAGATTCCTTTATTTCTCTTCTTTGTTTTCCTTCTCATGAGTGCATCTGCTGTTGAATCATGTCCATGCCATTCAATGATTAGCTCACTATAATGAGGTCAGTGGGGAGCAACTTACTCTTGTTTGCACTGTTCCCAACAACCATGAGAGATTATGATCATCAGTAATAATGCCCCAAATTATAATGATACAATGCTAAATTCTCCATGAAAGATCTACGATAGAGTAAACAATTTTACTGATGTTGCTGTCATTTCAAGATACCACTATGTGAACTACAAAAAATAATGGTGCTATTAATTTAATACGCACTTGATAAACTTTGAATGATTATAGGTCATCAGTAAAATAACTTGACATCATGCATTATTGGATACTAGCTGTTCAAGGAAGGTAAAACACACAGCACTTTGCTTCCATTAGCGAAATAAAACCTGACTGGAAATAGCATTGTGAGTGACCGATTCTGATTCTGTCATATGGTTTGTTGCTGCATTCCGAGTAGAAAAGACTGAAATGACTTTGGCATATTACAAAATCTAAAATAAATCTCAAGTCCAATACTTCAACCTTCATTATAAAAACCAGAAACAGTTTAGTGTATTGCAGAGCATGGGCTTCAGAGTTATATTAAAATACTAGCACCTACTATGTAAACTGTAAGAAGTTACTTGACCTCTATGTGTCTCTGTTTTCCTGCCTTTAAAATGGGTATGATAATAGTATGTGCTCACTTAGAAGATTTTTTTGAGGGTAAAATAAATTGAAAAAAAA